CGAGGATGAGGCGGGCTGGGGACTAGCTGGTCCTTTGATCCTTGAGGACTAGGGGTCTTCGCGATCCATCCGGAGCCTGCGGGAGAAAGGAGACAACTCGAGGGAGTTCCACACCGGAGGGGCTAGCTGAGTCTGTCTTCTGCCCTGTAGGCGGGAATGAGGCCCTGTGCAAGACGGGGCAGACACCACGGTGACCCCTGCTGTCTTGGAGCCCCTCCTGCCCACCCCAGCCTTCGACCTTTGCTGTCTCTTCAGGGGCTCATCTCTACTCCCCCTGTTCTCCTCCCTCTGCTCCCAGCCCCCTCCCCCAGTCACTGCCCACAAGTCCCTCACCAGCCACCTTGTCAAGGACCAGCGACCTCAGGAGCTGCCTTCTTGTCCCCGGCTGACATTTCTGCTTCTGCCTAGCTTGAAATCCCCCACCCCGGCAGCTTCTAGAAGAGGCCGTAACCCCCTGGGTTCAGAGTACAGCTCCCACTTCTGGCTCTCCTGCAGTCACACAGGCAGGGCCACCACCCTCTCTTTTTTCTTTCTCATTTTTGTGGTGGGAATCGAACTCAGGACCTTGCGCTTGCCAGGCAGGTGCAGCACCACTGAGCTAAATCCCAGGCCCCTACCACCTCCCTCTCCACAGTCCCCTTGTTGGGCTGCGGCACCGGGTCTCCGAGAGCCTTGCTTGGAGGTGCCGGGTGGGTATGACATTGGGCAGGGTCACAACCCTCTGAGCTTGCTTTTGGTGTCTCCACATTTCCTCAGGAACACGTCTCCTCTCCTCTCCCACCCTGGACTAGCACTGTGTCCAGAGATCCATCCATCTCTCCTTCCCCACCCCCAGCAGATCCTGCTTTCAGCAAGAAAGGATCTGAGGGACTCAGGCCTACTCAAGCCCTAATGATGAATAATGGTTTAATGCGGGTGTTTACAGGGGACAGCCATGCCGCTGGCTGTCACGCTGTCACAAGAAGACAGAGAGCGGGTAAGGGGCTCAGCCCCCTCTCCTCCTCAGATCATCGTCTCCGTTCCACACACCAGGGTTGGCCTGGATGCCCGGAACGAAGGTAAATGGTTCCACGTTTAGTGGATGGGAGATGGAACCCTGCGACCGGAACCAAACGCCAGGTGCTGTGCGAGCTGCTGCTAGGGTGTGTGTATGAGGACCACCTGAGGCTGGTGGGGCACAGCGAGGGAGCAGGCACAGGGGTCCCTGGAGGAGGAGAAAGAGAGGGCTTTCCAGGGAGAAGAGCAGGTGGATGGGAGGGGGCTGGCTAGTTTAGGGAGCTACGGTGGGGACATAGAGGTGTGGCTGGGTAGAGGGTGTGGGGGACAGACCTGTCCAAGCCAGGTCTTCTAAGGACACCAGAGTGGCCTGGATCGCTAAGGGAGAGACACACAGAGCGTCTCTGCCGACCCAGCTTCACCGCAGGCAATTCGCAAAATTCTGAAGGTTGGCACTTTAGACCCATCTTACAGATAGCTGACTCTCCTGTGCTTTTTCACCGTCTTGGCTCCAGACATTCTTTATGGAAGAAGGGCTTTCAGGGTAGGGAGCACCTGTTGGAAGGTGAAGGTGCCAGAGAGGGGTTGAAACTGCTTCCCTGGCTGGCAGCCTGGGAAAGCATCCAGTCCCCAGGGAAGGGTGGAGGTGCGCAGCCCTGAGTGAAGCTGTCCCCTCTGCCCCTCTGGCCTTCCCCCGGCCAAAGTGGCTTCAGGAGGACCCGTGACCCCACTGTGAGTACCTCAGCACCTCCATCCCAGCTCCTCATCCATTCTGTGGGCCTGGGTGTGGAGTCCCCCCTCCCTGGTGGCCCTGCTCTGCCATCCTGCAATCCCGAGTGCGCTGCCGCCTCTGGGGACCCGGCTCTGAGTCCCCACGGGATGGGCTGGGCCGGTCGTAATGAGGCTGGAGTTACGGCAGAAGGAGGCAGCTCCAAGTCTTCATTTCCTGGAGCTTATGACTTCGCTGCACGCACCCGGGAGCAGCTCCCCCGACTCCCCCAGCCAGTTCCAGGGCTGAGAGGGGAGGGCTCGAGGAGCGGCCTTACTGGGAGGTGGCGCTGCCTCTGGGGGTAGTGGGCCAAGGGGATCTGCACGTCCCCTGGCACCTGGTTACCGTGCCTCTTCCAGCGCTGCTTCCACCCCCCGCTTTATTTCTCTGTTTATAACGCCCTCTACAGGGGCAGGGGGCACCGTGCGATTCAGTCATCAGATGATGAATGCAAGCAAGGAGACAGAAGTGCATTTCATTCATTCCTTCATTCACTCCTTCACATATTTTTAACACCATGTCTCTGTGTAAGACAGCAAGACACAATTAGGCGGAGATGCATTTTTTTCTGGTTGTTCGCTTACTCTCCACAAATATTTACCAGCGCTTCCCTGATGGCAGCCCTCGTGCTGGGCACTAGGGATGTAGCAATAAACAAAGAAGAGTCGGCCTGCTGGTGGAAATGACCTAGTGGGAGAGATGGATGACAAAGAAGTGAATCTACAATATGGTTGCGGGGGTGGGGGTGGTGCTGAGCATTAAGAAATTAGGCAGGAAAGAGAAGGGAATGATAGGTGGAAGAAACGGAATATGTGACAGTGTAGAGGGGCATCAAGGTGGCATCTGGCTAAGTCTGGAAGGATGAAGAGGAGCTGGGCATGAAATAGTTCCATAGGAACAGCATGTGCAAAGGTCCAGTGGTTGAGCACACAGAGGTACACAAGGTACTAATGCATAGGGTGGCTTGGATGGGAGTTTGGGATGTCAGGAGGAGAAACACTTTGTGGCAGCTGCCCAGGGCAGAGGCTGAAGTCAAATTTCCCCTTCATAGAGGCCATTTGAGTCCAAGAGTGTTGTCCATAATTGTACAGCACACTCAAGTCCTAGAACCCTGGACATGGTAAGGGCAAGGGTAACTTTGGGGAATGGGAAAGGTGCCCAGGTGGATGTAGCCCCCTGAAAGGTGCACTGGGTGGGACAATGCTGCCCCCTGGTGCAGGGCACAAGCTACATTCCTGCCTGAGGGGCAGCCCGCCCGGGAAGCTGCACCTCTCCTCCCCACCTGGGCCTTTATACCTCAGCTGCCAGCCCCTCCCTCAGGCGGTTGGCCTGGCTCCCTGGCTCCCTGCCAGCTCTTCACCGCTCTGCACACCCTGCCAAGGCTGCCGCAGAACTCCAGCCTCCCCGCCTTCCCTCCCTTCCTCTCCTGCTCCAGTCTCTTTTCCTGGGTGGACCAGTCTGTCTAGCTAGGGGAGGGGGTGCCGGGGAGCCCTGGGGCTGCGTCCAGCTCTGCAGGGACTGTTGGTGGTCTTCCGGGGCTGCAGGTCTCCACGCTGCACAGAAAGGTTTAATCCCAGCGGAGTAAGAACTGAGGCCTGGCCCATTCAGGTAGTGCTGGCTCTGCCCTATCCACGCTGCAGCCTCCCACCCCTCCTGCGGTTTGCAGGTGCAGTAAGCAGCGTCTGCGGTCACACGTGTCAGTGAGCGCGTGTTTATCTGCACATCCATTCACTCTGCCGCTTTTATGAGTCCCCACGCTGTGCTGTTCCGGGCACCGGGAAAACAAACAGGAGGGGCCTTGCCCTTGTAAGTTGGGAGATGCAGACAATGAGCAGATGACACGTCTGCAGCGGCTGCACCCGGCTTCTCCCTTCCGAAACTCATCTGAAAGTGGATGGTGGTGGTAGGGGTGCTGGGCGGTGGGGCCTTTAAGAGGCCCCAAAAGGAGCGAATGCAATTCTCCGGGACAGCTCAGCACTGCCAGGCAGGTGGCCGGAAGGCCAGGCAGCCCCTCTGTTTTGCTTTGCCTCTTTTGCGTGCATTTGATTTCCCTTCCTCCTCCTGCTATGTTGTGATGCCTTCACCAGAAACTGCAGCTATGACTTTGGGCTTCCCGTCTCCTAGAACTGTGAGCCAAAATAAACTTTTCTTTATAAATTACTCAGCCTCAGGTATTCTCTTACAACACCAGAAAACCAACGAAGATGATGTTACGGAGACAAAAACAAAGCTAATTAAGAGGGTGGTGGAATTTTTGAATCTACGTATCTATCTACTCTTACAAATGATTATTTATACAGGGTGCCTTGGCATCAGGATAACATAAGCAGAGATCTGAAATGAGGGAGGGAGGGGGAGCCATACTTAAAACTGGGAGAAGAGCATTCCAGGTTAAGGGAACAGCAACTGCAAAGGCCCTGTGGTCAGCACAGGGGGAGGGTCCCAGTGTTGTCAAAGTGGGCAGCAGGAGATGGGGGTCAGAGAGATATGGAGGTGGGGTCCAGCCATTAGGGTCTTTTGGGGTTTTGCCCCAAAGTGACATAAGACCTTTAGGAGACTTTGAGCAGAGGAGAGATACGAGCTGATTTACATTTCAGAAGCTTACTTTAGAGTCGGCTGGAAAGCTGGGGCTGGGA